GAAACACAGAGACTTTCTACACTGCAGCTCTCTAGTGTGTGTAGATACAGCGTACATACCTACATGTGCTCTGAGAGGCTCAATTTGGTTTTCCACTGTGCTGCACGCATGCAGCGCAGAATGTGTGGCGCATGGCATGCCCATATGTGGAGCACGAGGGCCCACGGAGCTCAAAAGAGCACAAGTGGATCAATAGCTGTGCTCTTAAAGGGCTGATGGTGGGTTTTGATGAGATATGGCTTTTAAACAGCTGAATGATTCATTAGTGAGTTAGCACACTATACATCCTGTGTGTTGCAGATTCTGGGGCGAGACTAGTGCAGGAAAACAGCTGACAGATGGTACTAAGCAAAATTACTTGAGTAAAGCAAACCATTTTGCAATTACATGACCTAGTCTGGTAGACTGCATCAATGTATGAGCAGAAAGAGGTTTCAAGAATTCGAACAACCCTGTAATACATCAGAATCCTTATTTTAAGAGGATAATAAGCAGCTAAATGCTAAAAGGATCATCTGCAAGATATGGAAGTGGAGAGATGTGTGATTTTTGGGTCAAGTCATGTCGTGGTGTAGGGGCATGAGATATATTGGTACCATATTAATATCATAAACACTGTAAGAAGGGATTTTTTTTGAAGCTGTAAGTAAAACAAAGTATGTTTTACCAAAAAAATACTATTTCAATCTTTCTACTTAATATTTTCACTGAGGTTTATGAAATTTGTTTAAATGAATCCTACATGAAGTTGTTGTTTTTTTTTTGTTTTTTTTTTCAGTGAAGTAGTTTTTTTTCTTGTTATTTGTACAGGCTGGTACTGGTTATTTAATTGTTTTTGCTCATTAACCCTATTTTTACATTTAGATCACCTTTTCTTTCATCTAACACTCTTTAACTTTAAAATTAATCTTTAAAAGCAATAATAATTTAAATAACATGTAATCCTTGGCAAACGTCAAAACTAATATTAATTATACTGTACAATATAATGTTTTGATCCACTTCTAGCATTTAAAACCATTGCTTTTATTCATTTATTTATGATACTAAACCAGTATCGTTGCATCATGGTTCCCAAACTCCAGTGCCAAAAGACACATTAAAACTTATTGTAAACAATTTACAATAAGGTTCCATTTGTTAACATTAGTCAACTTGAACTAGCAATGAAAAATACTCCTAAACCCTTTATTAATCGATAATCTGGAATACAGACACATCTGTTAATATCATTTAATGGACATGAGGATAATGTGAACTAACAATGAACTGTTGTATTTTTATTAACTAACTTCAAAAAAAGATTATTAAGTAGTGTGACAAATGCATTGCTCATTGTTAATGTCAGTTAATGCATTAACTAACGTTAACTAATGGGACCTTATTATAATGTGCTACCAACTTCTCAATTGACATAAAAAAAAAAAACCACAACAGTGATAAACATCATGTGTCTAATATGTGAATAGCGAATAATCATGATGCAAATGAGCAGAGACGTTCTGCATCCACAACGCTCATGAAATGTTGATGTTGATATTCTCACAGCCCTTACGTGCGCAGACAGCTTGATTAGGGAGCTGGAGAGAAACAGGCTGGTCAGGATGTCAATAATAGGGAGGAATTTGCTGCTAACTGAGCATCATGGGATACCAGAACTGGCTAGCAGTTGTGCACTCATATAGAAGCTGCAGGGAGGGGGAAGTCCTGCGGAGGAGACTGCGTGTGCATGTCTCAGGGGGTGATATAAAAGATGGCAGTAGATGAGATGTGAAAAGAGGAAGTGTGAGGACAGATTAACATGCACCGACTGGAGTCACACTGAAAGAATGGAGAATACGGAAGCCCGGCAGCTTCTCATCAAAGGCTCCAACTGTCTCTCGCGCTCTCATCTTTCTCTCCCCTTAGGATTAGGGAGAACTGTGAGTGACTTGATTCAGGCTCTCATACCAACCAATCAGAGATCTCCTGCTTGTTTCCATATGTAAAAAAAAAAAAATCAGCATACATTCTCTCATCACTTCATATTAATTTCTCATCCTCTCCACTTTTGCTTTTCCAAAAAGTTTGCATGCTTATTGTTGTATCATGCTAGGTGTTCAACTGAATATGCATGTCTACGATCTAAAATTATTATTAATATCATAATTATCAAAGTATTAATATTAGGGCTGCACGATTAATCGCATGCGATATTTAACGCGCATCTTGTCAGTAAAGACGGTTCTGTAATCAGCGGTAAATCTCCATCACCTGCGGGCTTTCACATTGAGCAGCATTAACTACACAGAGCCGTTGTTCACTGACGTTTCAGTTTTAGTCATTTTAGTACTTCAGTTAGTTGCATTTCTAATTTTCATTTACTTTTTTCCATTTAATATTTATACTTGATTTTATTTCAGATGCTTTCTAACTAACGAAAAAATGTGTAATAGTTTTAGTTAATAACAACAACACTGATATGGAGGCGAGGTCAGGCTTCTCTGTGCACATCCTGCAGTCGCTCTTGCTTCCAAAAATCACTGTTTGAGGAAAAACAAATCCTCATTCACACACATAAGCAATCCAATTCCAATAAGTGACACATCTTCAGAAATGCGAAAAGCCTCCAAATCCTTTAAAGAGCCAGTGTGCGGCTCTTTCAGACACATCTTCCACTCAAAGACACAACAAACAAGAATGAAGGCATAATGCTGCCATCTTCCCTCATCAGACACCCACTGCCGCTCAATTCATCTCAAGAATAAGAGCAGAGATTGACAGCATGCTGTTGATGCGATTTATCGTGCAGCCCTAATTAATATCAAATATCATAAGAGTGAATGTGAATATGTGAATGGGTTGCTGTTGGGCTGATATGGAACAGTGTAATTTTAGTATTATTTCTATACTATTATTGTATTTATTAATATTTTAAATTTAACGTTTTATATTTTCAGTTTTCATTTTCAAGTTCATTTTTAGCATTTTTTTAATACATACATACATATATATATTTTTTTGGCCAATGCCCATCTATACAGTATTTAGGTCACTTAT